TTCGAATTGCATTATTAATCCAATGCGTATACAACTGAAGCAAAAATTGAATGAAGAGCATTTGTAATCACTTTTTTTCAATTTTTTTGAAAATGAGAATGTTATATTAAATGTGAAACGAATAAAAAGTGAGAATAACTTTCGTATGAAACAGTTCGTTTCACCGAGCATGAAAATAAAGAACAAAAAAAGAGGTGTCAGTCCTCGATCCATCTCTCAGTGGCGCATGCCGCGCGCAAGCTGGCATCACGAGTTCGTCCCGTGGGAGGTGAGTCTGTCGCAACGGGGTACACCGTGTGATTTTCTGATTAGTAGCGGCTCGACTGGCTGCAGTTAGCCGTTGTTATAGGCGGCGGAGAGCTCGATTCGTCGCATTGCTATGCATGGGCTGGGACTCTCGAGAGCAATGGCGGATGGAGAGAGAGAGAGAGAGAGAGAGAGAGAGAGAGAGAGAATCGCCACGAACCGTACAATTCATGGATTGCCTGGGAATGCGAAACTCTATGCTATGCGTACTATGTATAGTGGGATTCAAAGTGATAGTATCAAACGTTAATATTTTACATAATGGTGGAGCTGTAACGTGAGTATTTTTAAGTTTGTCATTTTAACTTTTATCCAGTTACTCTCATCTATGAGCATATCAGCATCATTTTGATGCTCGTGATATAATCAAATAAATAATCGAAAAAAGTTGTTTTCGATCCTACTTAGATTACTTTTGTTACAAGATAATGGACACACAGCTCTTTGCCATCTAGCGGTAACTGTCGACAGTGAGTATACAAAATTATTAAAAATATTCATCGAAAATTGATAAAATTATCCATAAATAATCCACACCATAAATTTAAAAAAGTCCAAAACGTCAATCCAATAAATTAACGGCGATTAAAGTCAATCGTCAACCCGAGCCACCCCGTCGATTTCAGCTAGCAGTGCAGGGCATTAACGCAAACGGAGACACGGAGTATTCCCCGTATTAGACACGGATTGCGCCGATTCAAGTGGCGACGCGCGCGACCGCCCGTGGTTTTCATTTGCACACATATATACGCACGTACGCACCCTTCGCGAATGAGAGAGAGAGAGTAGAGAGAGGGAGGGAGAGAAAGAGAGAGACAAGTCGAGTTAAGTGTATTAATCTCGAAAGCGGCAGCAGCAGCAGCAGCAGCCCTCGTGCAGCAAGAATGAAGGGGAAGGTTTGTGCCTCGCAAAGGATCAAGTGGGTGGTGGCACTAGGTAGTCGCACAAGATTATTGGTTTGCGTGAGAACGCGCGGTTCATTTGCGCGCCAGCGAGATTAGGGTTAGATTCTCCGCAGCCGATAACTGCCGCCCCGCCGTAAGCTTTTCAACCACGTGCGCGCGCGCGCAGATTGGATCGTTATGCTGTTAACGTTTGCCGCTCGCGCGTTAGGTACAAAGTGTGCTTTACACGCTTCACGTTATGCCATTGGACTCGTTACTTCGCTTTTTCTCTCTTCCGTATAGTTGCAATTATTTCGCGTACTCGCGTGTTTCGAGCCAATTGTTGGTTGTTTTTTCTTAACGCGATGCGGAGGTAAACAATTTTGTTGCGCTTCAGTTGTCTTTTTTTTTATTCGGTTAACAACAATTTCGAGTGCCAAGACAAATAAACGCAGCAAACAGCGTGAAAAAGAGCAATAAGAGCTACGCGACAGCCGCGAGCCGAGAAGTCAAGAAGCCACTCAGAGCTGCTCACTTAACGCTGCTTCTCGTGGGGTGGGAACTTCGCGAGGGGAAGCATTCGAAACTTGCTCTCGCTCCCCTTGCCGGTGCTTTACTTCTGCAAAGAAGTATACATAGAAATCGAGTGCTCGCGAGAAACATTTCGATTTGCCGATCACGACTCGATGCGCGCAGAAGTGTGTGCAGCGGTAAAAGTCCCTCGGCTACCAACCACTGTTTAAGGTGGCTTTAATTGAGAGAGCTGTCTTGAGCGGCTGTTGTACTATACACGTACGTGAGATCGTTGCGTTCGAGTGATTGTTTTCGTTTCGCCGTGGTTTCGAGGATTCGTGAGAACCGCCAGATGATGTATTTTCCAATGCCTACCCTGCAGCTAAAATGTTAATTGACAAATGAAGTCTGACGATTTAACGAGTGAAATTGAATAGCAATGACGCAAGCGAAAACAGCCAAAGTGCTCGAGAAACGAAGCAGTGCCATAGACTGGTACATAAATAAGCCAGAGATTAGCCAAATGTATTCGCGCTCTTTGGCCAGTGTAGCGCCAAAGGCGGGAAAATCCCGTTGGAGAGATTTATGGCCGCCGGATGCACAAATACGGTAAAACTTCCCCGTTTCCGGGCTGGCCAAGTTTTCTTTCGGATAGGGCGAGTTGCGCCTTCTTTTTTTCACGAGGACGGCCGACCCGCCTCTGCTGCCAGTGCAATATTGTCGAGTTGCGATACTCTGCCAATTGAATCCTGCTTCTTTTTATCTTTATTCAACGACACAGAATATACGTGAAAACGGAAGCGAATTCATTTATAGCAGTCCCTGATAAAGTTACTCGGGTAGATCTCAGTCCGTACAGTCTGACTGAATATTTCTTGTAAAGTTATAGATATGGTAAATAAATATCGCTCACGACGTTATTTTAATAAGGATAGATTCCTGCCGAAAAAATAGCCACAAGTGTGAATATTGAATCATCGTCGGTCCGTCAAGTGTATCACAAAGCGTCTCTCGTCATAAATCAAAAGCCGCAAATCACCGCTCGTGACTCCTCGACAAGCTATCAGCGCGTAATCAAGTCGGACATAAACATGAAAACATCCTCGTACATTCCTCATGAACGGGCGAAAGATATCTATCCTAGATATCGTCAAGCGTAGACCATTGTGTGTTATTCTTTTTTTCATATATCTGGATTATTGATGGGCGGATGGCGCGCATAATAACGTAATTACGAACGCCGCCACCGCGTTGACAAATTGAATCAATTCCAATTTATTCTTTTCATACCCGCGCGTATATAATACGAGGATGTTGTCCATTAATATTTCATGAAACGAGCGCATGGGAAATCGCCGTAATAATAAAAAAGAGGAAGAATCGCCACCCCCTCGATAATCTTTCATCAATCAGAATTAACGAATCAGAGCGTTGTTTATTGAGCTTTGTGCGCGTCTATAAAAATCCGTGGAACGAATTGAGCGAAAGCTTTCCAAAGTTTTTACTCCTAATACCGGATTCTGATTTTTTTATTCCCAATCGAGTACGGAAAGCGGTGGGGCAGTAACAACGCCACTATATGGGCTTAAAGCTTAGAATGAATTAGCTTTGGTGACGCATTACTGTAGACGGAGAATCATTGGGAACAAGAATTTAGCGAGATTATTAGTGCAACGAATGAAAGTGTTAAATTCAGCGAACGTCAGATAAATCCGATCGCATTTTCATCGACGCCAAATTGGCAATATCCTCGCGGCCGACGATTCCTGAATTATGCATCAGAGTCCGTCGATGCTATTCCCCTCTCGCGCTTCCTGCGACGACGACGACGACGACGACGACGACGACGACGACGACGACGATGGTGGAGCTTCAAAGTTTATCCATCCTAAGGCAAGCAACCGAGCAAGCTACTCTCAGAGTGAGGAGAAGCATGAAGTGTGTCATTTATTGCTGATGAGGAAGGAGCTCAACTAACCTGGCAATCTGCTGTGTTTTAAAACGGAATATCTTCTACTCGATGGAGTTCTTATTTTAGGTGCTTCAAAATAATTTCTATAAATGCTGATCTGATTAATTTACATTTTGAAAATTTTATAAAAGCAAACGGTAAAAATTGAAGATAACTCGTTGGATTTTGGTTTGAAAAGCTTTTCCGTAATACAATAATCGACCGCAATTACGATCTTTCCAATCGAATGCTTCCTCAATTACACCCCATTGATAGCTCATCTCGGTAAAAATTAAAAACAAAGAGGCAGTCGAAGAGCATCTCGAATGGTAGATAATGAAATTAAGCGTCTGGAAATGGATTTGAAGTTGGCGAAGAGGGGCGAGGTTACGTCTCCAGGACGACGAACAATGCCTTTTCTCTCTTTCTCTTTCTCCGCCGCTACGCCGGCATAAAAATGACGCTACCGCGAAACTCCCTCGCGTCGTCCAATGAAACGATAACAGCCTCCATTTCCTCTTCCATCGCTCCCGTTATCGTCCGTATACGAATGCGCGCATTAGTACGAGTGCTGCCGCCGAGCGCTGTTTTACTTTATTTTTCTTTTTTTCTGCAGCAGCAGCAGGATGGATGGTGTATCGATTAGTTGTAAAAAGACAAAGCTCTGCACGGATTTATGTAATTGCTTTTTTGTTGGACGATTCTCAGTGTTTGTAAAACAAGAATGATAATTTTAATACTTGTTATCGCTAGATAAATAAATATATTTAAATTCTGAACTTATAAGCTTTATACTATCGATTCTCTTTCTTGTAGGAGAACAATATTTCGGCGGCGACGCCAAGATCGATTTCCTGCTTGCGCCACCCCTATCCACGTTTAACTGGCGATTACGATGCGGCGGACTCTAGTTGACGATAGATCTAGTCGACGCGCCGGTTGGAAATTGAGTTGAAAAAACTGCTTTTCGAGAATTCACAAACGGCTAAACTTTGTTTTCACGTAGAGGAAATGAGGTATGTAGATTTCTTTCACTCATTCTCTCTCTCTCTCTCTCTCTCTCTCTCTCTCTCTCTCTCTCTCTCCCTCTTTCTCTCTCTCTCTCTATTAGTTCTCTAAGTTTTAGCAATATTTTTCTTTTTTTATTTGACGAGTAGACGGATTATTGTACATTGCATAAGTGTGGATGTGCTTCCGAGCCGTTTACCGGATTCTAACGAATATTTATCTGCAATTTGCGACTTGAGTTTTCACTTGTTACTTGGTAATTTTGGGTTGTACATTTTTTGGATTTTTATTTTTTCTATACGCGAGGCTCGATAAATATTCCGAAAACGAGTAAAGGCTCAATCCATGCCCTCGCACGTCTTCATCTTACACTTTTCTTTGGGCGGACAACGATAAGTTATTCTTTTTTTGCAAACGTATTTTGTTTTGCGTGTACACGGTGGTAAATAGACGGGTACTGTGAAGGTGATTTGATTCTTCATGCAGGGACAAGGGCCCGAATCGAGTTTTGGATGAGGCGGACACGAGCAGAGAACAACCGGCAATGTTGGTGCCTGTGGTAATTTTGGCGGTGGTGGACAGACAAATTTTGGTTTCGCATTAATCTATAAATTTGATATAAAAACGAGTGTTTTAAAAGTAATCTTTAGTGAGAGTAACGATGAAAGAACTGACTTTATCGTTATACGACGGACAAGGCTCATTTAGTGAGCAGACTGTTGGCGGGTATGCCTCTTTTTCCTGTGCGGGAGGTTGAACTGGCGGCTGACATCTGTTTGGCGGTAAACAAGTCGCGCAGCTAATATTCGATTCTCCTTGTTTGCCATCGCCAAGTGCATTTGTCTTCATGTTGCAGGGTTTCGTGAAGGGCACTATTTTATACATGCTTTGGTTTAAAATAAAATCAATTGTATTACGAAACTTGAAAAGTAATTATTCTTTGGATTGGTTATACCTTCTGTGCTGACTTTACAAACTTCTTGATTGTCAGCGTCCTTATCGTTTCGTCGACAAGCACTGCGCCCAAATTTCCGCGAGTCAATTGTGTAATGTGATCGAGATGTTTTGTCAGACGGTACACCTCGATCGCTGTGATATGTTGACATTTTTCTTGTCAACTTCTGCCAGAAACTTTTCTTTTTAATTTTTGCAGGTTTCGAGTTCGTCTTGGAACCAGGCTTAGACGTTGGGTTTTCTACTGCTTTAGATTTGCTTGAATTACAAGGTGCCTCCTTCGGCTGTAAATATGTCAAAGTAAACTATGAGTTTTGATAACGCGAAACAATGGACTTCTTTTTTGATGAAATTGCGCAAACCGAAACCTTTGTTTGTCCACATGGAGCAGGCTGTGGCGGACATGGTTTTACCGGCCCTCCGCATGTTGGACATTTGGGCTTTTTCTTCGGCGGCACACACTCGGGCATTGGTTTTGGACACGGTGACGGTTTTGGGCAGGCTGGCTTGCAAGGAGCTGGTACTTCGCATGACTTCTTTGGCGAGCCGCCGCATGTCGGGGGTTTCGGTGAAGCTCCACATTTTGGTTGTGGTGGACAAGGCGGTGGCGGCGGACAAGGAGGCGGGGGCGGGGGCGGGCAAGCTCTCGGCTCTTGGCGTGGAGGAATTGGACCACTCGGTGGATCGAGGGGACATCGTGGGGGGCATGTATTGGCTTTGCAAGGTTTTGGGCATGGAGGCTCGGGCGGAAAGCACACGACTATTTCAATATCAACAAGCTAAATCAGTTTTATAGTATATTGGGGTAAAGACTTCTATTTTTTTCATATTGGTACATCGATAATATGCATCAAAGTAATATGCATCAATTGTAAGCCTAAACTGTTAATTAGTTTGAATGTTATAAATAGTGTTATTTATTTCAATTTTTGACAAACTACACAAAATATATGTATTTTGCAAATGTATACGTATCACTATGATTTATTTATTTACAAAAATCGACCAATAGTAAAATTAAAGATTATAATATTTACTAAAAAGGGTATTTCCGATTTTGAAAAATTTTTATTGCAAACGATTCTTTGGAGAATCGGACGTAAGAACCTATGATAAAAACTTTTTGATTTGGATTAGGGAGTTGGTAACAACACGAAAAGGGAGCAAGGTAGTAGTGGAATATGCTGTCTGTTACATCTCGGCACTATGTGCGAGGAATTTGGTTTTACGGATTATTAACATGAGTTATTCATTAAACCTAAGATAAATTAATTTCGAAGAATGTCGTATTCTTTTTTAATTATTGAAGCAATGTGATTTAGAAGTGAACTATTATTGCGAATGAAAATATTTACTTGAACAATTTCTTTCAAAAACGGTTTAAGATATATTTATCTCACGAGTCAGATTTGTTAAAAAAAGCTAGACATTGATAATATGACTGTTACAAATTCTGTAAAAACAGAAGTCTTAATAAATGATCTGAAGTAACACGAACATATCTTACAAAATGAATTACTGAAATCATTGATTTATTTATTAAACTAATTAAACAAATTTTAGACTTTCTTTAAAAACTTATAACTCAATTTATAATTGATATTTAGGATTCAAAATTGGCATAAGATATTACTTTTATACATACTATCGATGCACTAAAAAAAATTAAATGTTCTAAAGTGCCGAATTACATTTTTTTTCTACCTTTTGGAGGTTCCTGACACTTCTTTGGCGGTGGAGGGGGTGGCGGGCAGCTAGTTGGTTCGCACTTTGGTGGAGCTGGACATTTCACAGGTTCCGGTTTCGGGCAAGGCGATGGACAGGCTGGTTTTGGTGCACAGTTGGATGGAGCTGGGCATTTCGCAGGTGCTGATTTTGGTTTCGAACATGGAGATGGGCACGCTGCAAAATGATTGGAAATGCAAAGAAAATTTATGATATCAAAATTCTTGGCGAATTCATCGAATGAAAATATGTGTATAGTCTTTTCAATGTAGTTTTTGAAAAACGTAAATACCCCTGGTGATTTGCTTTAGTACAGTTGATAGATTAATTATTTTAATTATTTTCATCGTTTGCTGATAGTCATTTTCAATATGTCTAGGTATATATTTTGAGTCGGCTAACCTGAATCCAGTATTAGAATTATTTTATTACTCATTGATTTATTGAAATACAGAAACTGATTTAAAAAGTATTAAAACTGAGTCTTTTCTTTTTACGATAAAAACAACTTGAAGAATAGAGAAGCAATTTTGGACGCTATATTTAGATTATTATAAATACAAACATATAATGTCACAGACTTAATATAAATATAACATTTATCGCTGAAAAAAAGCAGAAAATTTTAGAAAAATCACCTAAAAATGAGCAATTTTCAATATTTGAAAACGAAATAAAATCCTTAGAAACAAGGATTTGTAATTTTTGGTAAAAACTCAATCGCAATTTATACTATCCATATATTTTTCGTAATATATTTACATGAAATTTTATCCACATTCTTTGCGTTTCAAACCTGGTTTAGGCGCTGGTTTAGAACACGGTGAAGGACAAGCTGGTTTCGGGGGACAAGGTTTGGGAGGTGACGGAGGTGGGCAACATGGAGGCTTAGGAGGTGGACAAGGCGATGGACAAGGCGGTGGGCAAGGCGGTGGGCAAGGCGGTGGACAAGGTGGTGGGCATGCTGGTTTCTCCGGACATTTTGGCTCCAACGCAGAACTACACTTTTTGGCTTCAGGAATGCAGGAGCCTCGTTGCTTGCACGGTGAGACTACTGGCTTTTCTGGCTCTTTTGGGCACTTTGCTGGTGGAGGAGCTTTCTTGCCGCAACCCGAGTATGCCCTTGAGACATTTGTGAACCAGAGATTGCGGGTGGTGCTACTAAAGTTGCGATTAACGATGCTGTGGATAGCAGAGTGCGCCTGTTGACAAGAATTCATAAGCACAAGTGATATAATTCTACCTTGTATTCAAAGTAAACACCACCCTCTGGACTGTGTTCTTATTTAATTATCGGGGCTTTTTTAAAGGACATTTAACACAAATAATTTTGCGGTTGATTTTGGACTTTGAATGAGAAGGGACGTTATTATCCGAGGAGCTTTTCTCGTACTGATTTGGCAGGTTGTTGTAACTTGAATTGTTGAAATACTGCTTAGTTGTCTTGAAAAGAAAACGCATACTCCGGATAAGGGTTTTTCATATAAACTTTGTTTGCTCCACCACACTTCTTGCTCTTAGAATAGTTGATAGGGGTTTTATTCCATTCAACATTTCTACTTTTTGTTGTCGAAGTGGATAGATGCACGTAACTACAGGTGTGCATAGAGGTAGAAGAGAGGTGGAGCAACGTCCTTATGTGCATGAAAAGTTAAAGTTAACGTTTCACTTACTTTTAAGAGAACGGGCTCGTCCCCGCGTAAAATTGGTCCCAATATTCGCACCTGTCAAAATTGAGAATGCTTAGAAAACACAATAGATTGTAACTGTAACAATGTGTCAATTACATCGGACTATTTATCAGATTAAGAATCTTTTTTTTGGTGCGTACGGACATTTTGGTGGATATTCGGACGCTCGAAACACTGGTGGGCATTTTTTACCATCCCTATTGTCTACTGATTGTTCAGCTTTTGTCTTTGATTTTGATTACATTACTACTTTTTTTGGTTGTTTTTCAATTCTTGAGGTACATCTTTTTTAAGAGTTCTAGACAACTCTTTTCTCATTAGTTTGCTGTTTAATTTTTCAACTGTTTTTTCCGCGTTTGTTCCCGATTCAAGTTTTTCCGCGTGCATATCTTTTAATTGTTTTAATTCTTCCAATTTTGCGTTAATTTTGTCCAATAAGTCTTTTATTTTTGCCCTCAATCGTTCGGCTTCTTCTTTATTTCTTGATTTGAAAACATATGTTGAGTGTAATACATTTAAAGCAGCTTGATTCCGTTCAACGCTAGCGAGACTTGTAGTGGAATAGCATTGGGGAGTTGAAAAAAGTGCACAACTTGCACGTGAAGCAAAGTTCACGAGAAATCTCGCGCCATATTCCATGCTTCCGTTTGATGCGATGACTCGAAAGAGTGGAAACTCTCTTGCACTTTTTTTAGACTCATTTATCAGTGGCACCCATAAATTTTCGACAGTTCGACGACCTGACGCCTGCGGATAGACGGAGAGCTGCTTTAAGCTGCGCGAACTTTTTCTTCGTGGATGAGTTTGTAAAGAAGTGAGTTCCATATTTTATGCGTGTGTGCTATACCCCTGTAGACTATATTATATTTGAATCTGCTGTACAAAGCCGTATATCCACCTGATGTCCACCAAAATATTCACTATGAATTTTTAATCTAACGATTGCGCTTATTCTCCTCGAATTTTACGATATCTTTATCATGGTATAATCAAATATTACATTAGCTAATAGACAGCAGTTTTATAAATTTACCTCTGAAGTGTCAAATATAGGAATATCTCCACCTGCGATCTGCCCGTTCATGACTGCGCCCTTGCCATTTGCTGGAATGGCCTTCCTCGTTGTTAACACTGTCATCTTTATGAAAAACGTACAATTAGTTGATGTCTCTAGCGACTATTAATGCAACTGCATTGCTGGCGTATAGCGTAACATAAAGCAGTTAAATGAATCATAGTACAAATGTGGTTTTTAGTTACTCACAAATTTGAGATTCCTAAAAGAATTAGCATCGTTAACTGTAGCTGAACTAAATTTCCTCTGCTTGACATCTCGTGCAGTTAGACAAAATTGATCACCGATAGTCTGATCAAATAGAATTTTTTTTTCAACAAATACAGGCAGTTACGTGGAAAAATTTAAAACACAAACAACTCAATATAATTATTATCGATATTCTTTACAACGGGAACATCACGTGATGACAAAGCGCTTAGAATGATTTTAACTCTCGTTCGTGTGGTAGTTGTTTATAAACATAATTTTCAAAAAATGGTTAGTTAAGCTAAGAGCATACTCTGACATTCGTAGCACTGGCGCGATAGCCTCGCTGATGCAGTGATTGCACGATGGATTTTGCGGCTCGGGAAAGCATAATTTTTTTTGTTGAGTTTGGCCCTGAGTTCTTGAGGTTACTTAAAATTTGCTTGACGTGTTTGCCGGTCGTTCATTTTTTCCAAACTGTTTTCACCATGCCAAGCCCGTTGCCAATCAACGTTGTTTTTCAATTTTTTTTTCATTGTTTGAATGATTCAGTCGCCCTATTATTCGGTTGTGATTTTACGAGATATGATGAACGATTGCTAGTTTTTATATGCGACTGATAATTCAAAATGTATATTATATGTTAGTACTATTAAATTAAAACTTTTTAGTAACGAAATTTCGAGTTTGAAGTGTACCGTGGCGACATCGTACGATATCGCTGTAGTATCGCGATTCGCGTACGGGTTGTTGTGTACTTCTGTCGGTAAGGTATGATTCTACCCCAGATAACACAGCGTTCCTTGCACGGTTATATCTGAGCAGGATCATATTGTAACTTGCTAGAGATTGATAAAATCGCTATTCTAACATTATTAATTATTCATAATTTATTAGAATTAAAGTGATAATGCAAATATTATTGAAATATTATATTAAATTTTATTATCAATGTTTTTTTGATTTACACAAAAATTGATTTGTGTACTATCTTGATTGACAAGATATTTGAATGACAAGTACAACCAAAAAGTAATTAGAAATACAACCAAAATATTATCTTGATTGACATAATACTTTAATTAAAATGACTCGTAAGACCAAGTGATTTTATAATCTGGATACCGCTTTTTCAGGATACCCAAAGCCATTTTGTGGTTTGCTTTGCCATATGCCTGAAAAGAAAAATATTATTAAAATAAGATGAAATTCAGATTTTTGGTAAACTTTTCGTTATAGTCCCAAAGTATTATAAAATACGCTACTACAATTTTTGAATCATATATGGTTTCGCATTAACAAATTTTATCTCGATAATTAGTTATAAGTTGTAAAGTAAGCAACGTATAACTAATTGATAAATTTGTACGTTCAACCTTGATATACATGTACTTATTAGCTCATGAAGCTCTACTAATCTAGGAAGCTGATCTAATCATGTATACACGAGAGCGAAACGTGCAACACGTAAAAGAAAGAGAAGGAGAGGACCAGCCGTCGTACCATAAATTTGCAAAACACTGAAAATACAGCAATCTCTCTCTCTCCCTTTCTCGCTGGAGTCTAGGATTAGTGTAGCACTTGCATAATTTAATTTTGCTGGCAAACCTCTCTCAGGATGACAAGCCGAGTAATAAAACGTTCTCTATCTTGCTCAAGCCTCTTTGCTACCTACCGTACTGCCGCGCGTTAAATGAATTATTTTCCGATAGCACAAGCGAGCTGCTCGCTCAACTTTTGTGGAGCAATAAACGAGTTTCGCCAAAAGGTACGACGAGTTTCACTTCTATTTTCTAAAAATTATTTACCACATATGTACATGTACGAAAAAGTTGCGAGTCTTTTCAAAGACAGACTATCTCTCTCACATTCGATTTCGATTCCATGCTTCAACGAACTCGTACGCAGCTTCGGATAAAAAGCTCGGGGTCTACAAAGGTGACATAACAGTCGGTTTGTTTTTTTTTTTGATTTTTGAATCAACAGACTGATGCATATAGTTTCTTTTTCACATTCGCCTGCCTCTCTAGGCACAACTGCACAGATAAACCAATTTAGGGCGCTTAATTCGTTAACTGAACTTTTTCATTAGTGCGACAAAGCAGTGTAAGTTCGTTTGCTTTGTGTTTGTTAGTTTCACAACTTAGCGGGAAATGATTTTTTAAGTCTAGTAAAAGTTGTCTAAAAGAAACTAAATGTGTAATTCTTACAGAGTTTTTATTATCGTTTCAACAAACCGAGTTCAATTGAAGCAAACATGAAATATATTTTTGTCCAATTTACATTTATAAATAAAAACTGTTTTAGCTCTTTTACGACACTCATTTTATGTGTGAAATTGTTGTCCGTTAAGGCTTTCGTTTGTAAATTATTAAATAAGACTCGGAAAGAAGCGACTTGTGGAAATTTAATCTACGTTCGTCTGGCGCTCGTAATTTTTTCAGACGAGTACCCTATTTTTCAATGTGCTTGCCTATAATAAATTCACGTCTTGGCGGATGCGATATTGCGTAGGCCTGCTACACATTTTCAAGACTTAAATTGCGGCTTCGAACGATTAATATACAAATTCGTACTGTCAGTTCAGTATTGAATCGTTAATCAAACTGTCAATCTGATTTAGACAAATTGGTCTGGGTTCAAAGGAAAACTGCAAACGAAAAACCAGTCAGACCGATTTCATCGCATCATTCATCATCTGTTTATCAAAACAAAAAATCTGTAAATGACATATTTAAAAAATGCGCAATTATAACCGCCTAAACATCAGACCCCAAGCGACATTCAGAATTGCAATCTTGAAAAGAAAATATCTTGATATTTTTAAAAATCCCCTGCGGCATAAAGAAGGCAAATCGTGCATACATAGGGTTGGTGGCTCTGTTTACATTCTAACGTCGTTGGGATCCTCTGAAGGGATCGAAAGATTTTTCTCCCCGCAGCCCAAACGGATTTTATATTTTACGACTCGGCAAATATTAAACATTTTTTTTTTGAAAGTATCGTAAATTTCTCTCCCGCGCGAAATCTCTCTCCTTGCGATCTATACCAATTTTCGATAAAATTGAAAAAAATCAGGGTTTCAAAATAGAAAATGTCTTTTACCTCCGAATATCCGTAGACTTTCATTTTTTTGTCGCTGGCGTCGTGTTGAATCCTACCACCACCCCGGCATATGGCCTTCAAGTTGGAACTGACTTTCTCTAATTCTGCCTCGACCATTTTAAAAATGTCAGCTGTAACAAATAGGAAATTGAAATATCAGAATTGGTGTAACGGTCGATTTATTTTTGGTAAATGTCATTTCGATTTGTTCGGGTATTTTTCAAAGTGATTCCAGAGATAGACAAATTCCATGCTGTTTGCCTATGCACAAGTACATTAGATCAATTTGCTACTATAAATAATTAATAATTTATTTTTCTTTCTATCATTATAACACGATCGATTCTCGGAAACCACAGCACTCGACAACAATGAAACGTGATTGCGCTAAATAATTTTCCTGCTTGTTCAAAATTAGTCGACTTGAAAAACGTGCTCTCGCGCAAGTTTCTCTCGCCTGCGTGGATGTATATTTCAAAAGTTTTCCAACGTCACAACGGCATTTGCATGTTAAACTCAAGACGCTGATGCTCGATTTGAAACTTTGCAAGAAAAAAAATAGAAAGTTCTATTGTGTACACGCGTGGGTGCGAGTATGAAAAAACAAGAGCGTAAAAAGAGGCGGCGAATTGCTCGATCGTCGATGCAATTCTTATACTGCTTGGTTGGATGCGTCGCATTGTGTGAATATATCTATAATGTTATTTTTTTCATGTTGGCGAGAGAAACGCAGAAGCACGAAGTCTTGAAAATATCGTATACATTCGTTTCCGTCGTTGACAGTTTGGAAAAATGATAGGACGATGACGTTTATCTGTGTGTACATAGCTATTATATATCAAGCGGCGACATGACGTAGCTCGAGCGATGCCGTTGCATTTTTTATCATCAGACATCGTATTTGCACCATCATGTGAAATCGACTCGCCAGCGAATCTATTTCTCGCTCGCAAGCTCTTCCATGATGCATCCATATATATGTTTTCTCATCGTTTTCCAACTGCACAATTTGTCGTTCGAACATCCATTGTAAAATTCATGCGATTTTTTTGGCTTCGATCATCTGCAGAGAGTGTTTGCTATCCGACTTCCAAAAAAGACAATTAAACGAGCTTTCAATTTTCAATCTATAGATCTACGAAAATATAAGATGAGACTAATTCCTATTTTTTTTTTCTATTTTTTTCTGTACAATGAGAAGGTGTCAGTCGAATCTGCAATATGCTTGAAAGAGAGAGAGGGAGAGGGATATTTTGGAAAGATCTAAATAATCAATCGTCACCCACGATACGTGGCTAGTAGTGCAGCTCTCGCCGTAGGCGAGATGAAAATAAGTGCGCAGTTGCTCAGCATTTTGAAGTCAAATTATACCATTGCGGGTTATTAATGTTCGCGTGCGAGCATAGCAGTTTTATGGTTATTCGGAGAGCTTCCCCAGTGTGGGATATACGAGTACACTTTTGTACATCGAGATCAGTTATTGTATATTACCGAGATTGGTGGCAAAACTGCACTAGTATCGATGCGATATTTTCATAAATGTTTGAACAAGTCAATTGCTACATTTCCCCCTCTTTACGTGGAACGAGGTTTGCGAGATTTGCTGAGATTTGAAAATCACTTACTCTTGGATTTTCACGGTGAATCATTTACGCTCATTAAAAAGCTTGCCGACACGCGTACTTTCATGTAGCTAAGAGGATTCATTATAAGACTGTCCTCTCTTTACTAGCGCAACTGTAATTCCAAGTTTTCTTTCTGCATATATTTGCGTAGGAATTGCACCAGCAGCTTGTAGGTATTTAATTATAGAATGAAAATTAATTATCGTTCCTTCCACTTCTTTATTACGTCCGTAGAGAGCTTGCGAATTCTACTCAAATATTCTTTCTCATTGTGTGCAGGTTCTACGTTGTGCAGATGAGATTATTACAAAATAAGTCGACTTTTGTTCGCCTTTTCCGATTGAAACCCACGTGTACTTTGTTTGAATGTCACAAACTTGCCATAAGTCGACGCTTTAGCTTTCGAAAACGATATAGAAAAGAGGATTTATCACGAGTGCACGTGGCTTTACACGGCACCAAGTCAAATGTATACGTGTGAGCGTAGGTACACGTACCCAAAGTGAAATTCAACTAGCAAGGCCAATTTCTCGGATGTCGGCACTGCGCACATTCAAAGTCAACGAGAGATCCCTTTGAAAATGTTAAAGGCCATCTCGATTCGCTGACTCGGATGCCTTTCAAAGAGCAGCTTTGACTACTACAGCAAAAACCAGAGTGGCAGCAATACCATCGCGCGCTCAAACCTTTCCCTTGTGGCTAACTTTCGTGCGGCTGTATGCCCACTTTTGCGATTATTATTTGCTTCGCTTTTTTGGCCTTCTGCGGATGGATCGTATTAGCACGGACGGTTCGACGCACAAGAGAGGAATACGCCGACTATTTCGAATTTCTTCAGAGAGTCATTACGAACATGCTGAGTGGGAACGATAACGAAGCCGATTACAAGCGCTAACTACGCGATGTGATCGCAAAGGAGATATACGCGAGCGAATTTCGGCCATCGCGGTCTCGAGAGCATGGTCATGACTATCGCACCCTGCCACGTAAGCAAACAAAAGCGTGTAAATGTCTACGCACTGAATTGACTTTTACGCTAACTGAGCTTTCGCCCTGTCCATTGTGCTCGTTCCAAAGTCTTCTTCTAACTACGCGCTCTCACGTTCTCTTCTCTGCCTTTCTGCCGAATCTTGCGCTTCACTTCCGCGCCTTCGCGCGTCTTGTATTTCAGACCTTCCTTGCCGGTGATTCACCGCGCGAATCTTTGAATATTTAAACATGTCGACAGCGACAACTTAAGTTTTATTTATTTCAAAAGAAGCTCTCTTTAATTTAATCGAATGGGCAAACCTCATAGCTATAAAAAATAAAAAATCTGATTAGAAAAAACTGATAGAATGATTCAATGATGAAAATTCAATTGAAGTTTATACGTCACCATAAACATTTCTAGACTAATAAAAAAAATAAATACATGAATATTGTCCATTCCTTGTTTTATATTTACTTTTCCACCAGGAACGTGATCGAAATAAATCCCGATCAAGCGGGAATAAAAAAAAAGTTTTATCGACAAAGAGAGAAGGCGCTGGAAAATAATAAAAACACGATAACTGCGTAGGATAACAGCTCAAGAATAGTTCTGCTAGTTTTTCCATGAAAAAATCATGCGGTCATGCTGCATCGGGCAAACGACAAATATTAGAAGAGCGCACGTTTGGGCGCTTGCCAAGTGTTATGCTTCTTTCTACTAGATTTGTTTCGATATAGCTAAGTGCGCGAGCATGCCAAAGGAGAAAAAATAAGGTAATATCGGTGCATTTCAATTTAAGCGAGATAATGGGACAAGCCAATATTACACTTGTTAGAGTGAGACGGCTAAACTAATTTTACCTTTGGCTCGTTGATAATTGTGGAATTTGAAAGCCAATCAGAGCAATTTCGCGCACGTCGCAATCTCGGAAGAAAGGTATGAAATCAAAGGGTCATCATCTAATTCGAATCCTCGAGGTTCGAGGCTCATTGATGTGGTTTACTCGTGAAATAGCGCTCTTACCCTGGTCGTCAACAATACGACCGCACTTGCGGTGTTGGCTTGGTCGTACGGCCAACGCTTAGAATTATCCTCCAGCGAACAGAGAGACAATTTGATTTTTATGAAGCAGCTCGTACACCGGCTGCTTGTCAAAGGCAAGCGTTCTAGTGGCGACAAGTTTCGGGATTGTGAATTATGGATTGATATTGATTGCAAGACCTGACAATGGCTCTGTGCATATTTGCCTATATATCTGATGAATTATTCATTCGCATTTGCGAGCTTGTGATGTGGAGTTTCATAAAAGTTCTGCCAACGTGAAAATTGAATTTGAACTGCGGTACGCGCGTACCAGCACACCTGATGAGAAGCTTGTTATATTGAAACGGCGTCATTGACAAATGATGAAGTTTTGTTGAGAAAGATATACTTTTTAAATAAAGTTTTGCTGATAAGTGCTAGAGTAAACTGAACTTTTGGCTTCCTGAATGCATAAAGAACCAACTCATTACAGGAGAAAAACAACTAAAGTTAAAATTCATTGATGGTGACATGTTATACTAACAATGACCAAAACAATTCATTATAACGATAAATACGGTAGAACTCTAACAGCATCATTAACATTTTTCGTATTTATTTGTATGAAATATTTTAATTATTCATATGTTTATTGTATATTTTTCACAGAAAAACATTACTGTTATTTTTCATATTTCCTTGTCAATTAAATGCTAATTAACACATTTTCACTGAAAGCGACCTTAGGTAATCGATTAATAATATTTCGGTGTTTGTCAAGAGAGTATTTTTCACTCTTGAACTTGACTAATTAATGGATATCAAAATCGTCATAAATTACTAAGTTCCTCTCTCTCTCTCCCTTACTCTCTACCTCGATTAATTACAAACTTAGGACGTATATGGATCAGTCAAGCGTGATGACGTTTAAGATCCTGCTCCTGCTTGACAGGGCGTATCCGAGCGATATCGAACTACCTGTCATTGTTTATTTAAGCCAAAGTGTCGCTAGCATATGGTTCGCTCACTCAAATAGCAAATTCAATTATCATAAACTTGGCAATTTGCAGGGCTATGGGAGAGTCACTCTCTCAACGTATTAATGATATTCAACTTAATTAATAAATGACACGTCCGTGATTAGAAACGTACCAAGACTATTTCTACTTTGCAAAGTAAATGTATTATTTATCAGCGTTAACGTATTAAATAGCGTTATCTCGAATAAAAATTTGTATATTATAATGCTTTCGTTAAGAATGATTGAATTCTCTTGAAACTATTTACGCAAAGAGAAACGAATTTCAGTCTAGAAAGTTTTGACGACACTAATAGATTACAACTGAAGGCCGCGAAACATTGGCAAGTCCATGACAGTGTACATGCGTTTGCTAATATCGTAAGTATAAGTGGTGTACTATTTTTTTTGCCCAGCGAGACCGAAATTAGCGCGTTATACCGACCAAGCCGCGACCTGGAAATGCTACTTTCGGTCCACTGGACAAAAAAA